GTACTTAATCGCGATGAGATCGATTTATGGTCCGAGACTTAGTGGGCGGGTGCTTTGTCGAAAGTTAGTGCTCAGGGGCAATAGCCGAGCATCTTCACGCAGGTGTAACAGCCACTCATCGTTATCTTTACGCGTGCCAACGCCGTATTGACTGCCCTATTCCCCTTTATCTAAACGTATCTACCAGTTTCGTGAGAATTTTCAACATTTTCCTCATCTGTGGAAGCCGCGGAGTATCAGCTCATCAATCAGGGATTTAGTCTACATCTCTACAGTTTATCCGGTTTTACTGTTTGTATGCATTCCATAGCGACTGCACATTGATGTACTTGTTACTGTCGATCGTCGATATGTGCAACCCATTGCTCATATATCAAAGTAGTACCAAACAACTGACACCACTTGCTGCTTATCAGTGAATCACCTTTTACCTCTCTTCATCCTCCGTCAGATTTAAACGCCTATACTCATCAAGTCATGATTTGTTTTCCGCGACTCTGTAGCGCACATTTTGTCCTGACTACCACTGTGAATCCAACGACTAAGGTAGTGAAAGAGCCGCGAATAGGATTGTTCTCGCCGTTTATTCTATTTTAGATCGGCTGCATTGCGAAAAGATCTACTGTATTTGTGGCGGTTTGTCGATCAATGGAACCGTGTTTTGGTATTAACGTCTCTTCACTCCTTTAGGACAAACCAGGTTTTACGGACTTGTAAACATTCTTTCTTGGATGAAGAGTTTGTATTCAGACTAGACTAACAAACTGGAGCACTAGATGTAGATTGAATTGTCAAACAATTCAGCTGAGATGGACAGTTATGAAGAAATAAGAGGCCTAAGAAGCGGTTCAAAAGTAAAGACGTGGGTCTGCAAAATATCCCATATACTGATGTCAGACAAATGCTTGTTTCAAAACGCAATCTGAAGCGAAAACGTGCTGCGGGAGAGACATTCACTTGAAAAGGGCAACTTCGGGATTCACAAACAGGTTTTTCTCCTTTCCCCATGCATAAGCGCGTCAATATTCTTGTTATGGTTCCCGACTTCTGCACAACTTCTGCATGCTGTCTGTTGGAACAGTGAAAGATTCCGCGCTGCATCAAGCCGGAAAATTTTCTTGAGGGGGAAATACATTTGCTCTGTTTCTCAAATGCTTCAGTTGATGGTTACGGAGCCGTAATGTACGCGAGAATCGTCGGTCGATGTAAAAGATAAATAAATAAGCTATTGTTTTATTCTCGGTAGTCCGAGCCATGATCATGATACTAGAAGTTCAGATGGTCGGCAATTGTACCAAAATGTCGTAAATTATCCAGTAACATACTGAATGTGTGTATGCATATACGTTGCATTCCTGATGCTTCTACACCGCAGTTGGGCTAAACTAACTTACACTTAAACTTGTTCATTTTAAGCTGGATAAATTTTATTCCACTTTATTTGGTTTGTTCTGCCTACCTGAAAAATCTTATATTAACCTGTACTCTTTACTTACGCTTATTACGGTTATCTTCATTACCTTTATCGCGTTTGTAGCCTTTTGTGTAACTTCTGGACATTTTACCTTTATCGCGGATTCGTTGCTAACCAACTTACTTCATACGATAAGTTAGCGATGGGTTATATCGGCATAGCCGTATGATTTAACAAATATATATGTGATTTGATAATTTCACTGCAAGTGATTGGCTGTTGTTTGCTATCCCCGGTGTGGCTGCGCTTGATGTGCATGTTGACAAGGTGCCTACCTGTCTATTACCCACTACCTCCTCCATCCTGACTCCAGGAGACAGTTGGTCGTTGCTGGAGGGGACGGGGTGCACGGTCCTTATGGCCGTGCTAGGCTCGAAGAGTGGTTCCATGCACTCAGTGTGGAGCGGACTACGGTCCAGCCACCGCCTTGTGTGCGCTTGACTCCCCAAATACAGTGTGCTTGTGTTTGCCTGTGAAGGAGTGTGGGCCGGCTCCGTTGATGAAACGTGGCTCCCATCCACATGCATCAGTCCGCGACTGATGACTACACACACACACACACACACACACACACACACACACACACACACACACTATACACGTTAGCTAGAGGTGGGAAACACATCAACTGCTGTGCCGCAATACATAAAAGAAAAAGGGGAAAATGCAGCAGATGCAAGCCAGCTGAGTTACCGGTAACGGATAGGCATCGTTCCGGTAAGCCGCCAGCTGGCTACTATGCAGCAAAACAATTTACTATGCAAACTTTTATTAGGCTAAATAGTGGGATCGTGGTTGAAGGGGGAAACTAAGAGGGATAATGAATTAAAAGAACACGAGACCATAGGTGAACACTTGTGTTCGATGGTTCTCTTCAAACCATTACAATCATATTTAATGGTAAAAGAAGGAACTGAAATCGACTCATTGGTTCAAATTACATAGTTACTTAACGATTCAGTGAGTGAGGCTAAAAGTTTACCTTTGACCTGATAGGTCATTTTCTACTGGACCGCTTATTTGCTTACGCTCTAAGGATATGCTGCCATTGCTGACCTCATCTATGGTTATTTATCAGTTCAAGTGCGCTTGTTGAATAATGAATTAGTTGAAGTGATGCGTTTTGCCGGGAGAATTAAAACTCTACAATGAGCCAGACTATATTTGAGGCAGTCAATAGCTACCTTACTGTAACCTCAACTCCAATACAGAACAGATTTGCATGTGCAACAGCTGATGCTTCCTCAATGGTCAGAAGATACAAAGCATTTATTGCCCATCTACAAAATATACACCCTTCGGTTGCTTCAATTCACTGTGTGATTCATTGAGAGCGCCTAGTGGCTAACAACTTGGGAGAGCACTTAAACGAATCATGGTCAACTGTTCTAATAGTAGTCAGCAATATCAAGTCGTACCCACTTCAAGATCGTAGTTGCCACCTCATTTGTGAGGAGAACGGTAAAGATTTCCATGTTTTTCTGTTGCATATAAAGGTTAGATGGCTCTCCAAGGGCAAATGTCTTCGCCGTTTTGTTGCACTCTGGAACACTGTCATCACATTCCTTTCTGGAACTGATTATGAAAGAAAACTATTAACAGCTAAGCCAGACATGCTATAGTTGCCTGATGCTTTCAAAAAGCTTAACTTATTCAATAAAACTTCAAAACAAGTTAAGCAATCTCATGTCAAGCGAAGAAGCCATTATCGCCTTTCTGGAAAAGCTGGAATTGTATGCTCTAAACATCGGACATTGGGAATTTTCAAAGTTCTTAATTCTCGCTATAGTCACGGACGGGCTAAAGAATGTAGACTTGCTTGTTTATCTCAGTCATTTACAACAACTCCGAAAATAAAGGAAAGACAGGTTTTATGACTTGAATCACATAAAAATTACGATTTGGATTTTATATCCATTTACTGTACAGTCCTGCATTGTTAGAGTTAAAACCCAGAGAATTCTTATAGAGATTCAAAGTGACACGCTAGCATGAATCAATTGCATGCGATATAAAAGGGATTTTTTTGTAAAGGCTGATTCCTATAACACATATCCCTACCTGTGGTAAATAGCTGCAATAAATTTCCTTTATTTCCCCATAGTTGCTTGAATGTGGATTTAGCAGGGTAGTTTCTCTACCAAAAGGTAGAAGCAAATTGGACATCATAGCAAGAGAAAATATTCGACTCGTTGTCAAGTCTGGATCCGAACATAAGTAGGCTTCCTCAATAGATATCAGGATCAAGGCCTGCATTTATATTTCGACAAGCATATTGTTAAGAAGTTACTATACCTCTTACTTTATCACATGGTTTACCGCTAGGAGCTAACAATAATTAAATGCATTTAATATTAATGATGACTTTTGTGGAATTACAGATAAGTGGTTTGATTTTGCTGCACAATGAATGTTATCTTGAGGCCATGAAAGTTCAACAATGGGGTTTATAATGGAAAGAGCAGTGATATCAGCATTAAAAAATTAGTCATTATAATAACATATACTAGCATGATCACTCTAAATTACAGATTTACGTCTGGCATTGCGGATTGCTGAAATTGTAGTGGTTATGGATGTGGCCATGAGAAATGGAAAGGTTCAAAAGGGGGCCACGGTTGGATAAAGGTTGAGAATGCCTGGACTAACATCTCACTCTCCACTGATTTGCTTTTTGTCTTGCAAACGTCCTATTTTTTATTTTCTCTTTCAGAGGCTAACTCGGCCGTTTTTACTTGTCTGGTCAATTCCACATGTACTTATTGGTTATACAATCGTTTTCTCTTTACCTATAGTCTACACCGGGACTGTCTTCGACACCTCACTCCTCATACGTACATTTTGCCCCAAGCACTTTATCCGGATATTTATTCTGGCCAAGTTTTTTCTACTTATTCTACCCAAACTTTATCCTTCATACATACATTCATGGGTGCTCAAAGAGACCCTGTTATCTTGGGTAACGAACTAGACATATTTGTATATGCGTAGCTATATCTATTTCTATGTGCTTTCACAGTTTTATCATATGGGTGCCGCTCTCTAGTGTACTGGTTCGGAATCTTCGACATGATAGTACAAGGTGTCCTGTGACTTTTTGATAATTTTACTTACCTGTTCGACCGAAGGATTTTCACTGTATGTGGACATTAGGTGGTCCTCACCATCGTTTATTAAAACACTAACGCATAGCTGACGTCTACCTGTGGTTGATTTTAGGCATCAATCTTTGTTAGTTCCCACCCACATGTTGCACATGAAATCCCATTGTCTACCTTTTTCGCCGAACGGTATTTTATGCATCGTGGCCTGATACGTCGATTTTGGATTCGGAACATTGTGATCGACTATACTGCTTTGCAAGTTATACCGTTTTCTTTCGCGACCCCTCCAAACCGTCTTTCGCAGATTGGGAGAAGATGTACAGTACTTATTAATCTCTTACATGCGGTCGTGGGTCAATACCATTTTTCACTACACTCGACACGCCGCATCCGACACTCGCTACTTTCGTCTTCACTCCTAGGTCATACTAACGGATGCACAACCTTGGTCCTACATTCTTGCGGAATGGCGTTCACTGGTGATACGCTCCTTATTCGGGGTTGTGGTCGCACCGATTTCCAATCTGGATCCGCAGAACAGTTGTACGATTCCGTGCATTCGCAGATTTTCACCCTTCCGGATGATTATTTGCTCTATCCTGCTCACAACTACTCCGGCATAATGGTTACTTCAGTTTATGAAGAAAAGAAATATAACCCCAGGTGGGTTTTCGTGTGTGCGCCTCTCAACTGTGACCTATTCGAATTGATCATCGATCCACCGATTCCATAGGCTCTTCGTTCACCGATGAATTTCATTTCACAAACTCCAAACGTTTACTCATAATGTCTCTTTTTAGTGCGAGGTTGTCATGAATTGTATGAATATTCCCCGACAAACCATTTTTGTAAAAACACGCGTTGAACCAAGAACATATTCAGGAACATCCGACTCGTACATGAAGGTTCAGTAATCTCACATGTTATCTTACATGGAGGATGGCTACGTGCCCCTTATCAAGTGACATCCCCTTAACTGTTCTAGCAAATTGAATTTCCCGGTTAACATTAGTTGGGCTACCGGAATTTTAGCGTAACTGCACTATATTCTTTCGTATGTCCTTTTGGATGCTTGTTTTTTCTGTTACGATGATTTCTCATCTCCCTTGTATCTAAAAAAAATTGTTAACTTGATTTGTTTTCAATCGGAATGCCATAACATTTCCAAGACCTAGCTGGCAACATGTGTGTGCCGTTCTCCAATGAGACTTCTATATCCGCTACCCATGAAGCATGCGGTTATTGGCTGCATCGCCACCGATAATCAACCGTATGTCACAAGGTTGTCACGGTAATTCGAGGCGAGTGCCCACACGTTGTCCAAATTACTCATTTGGCTTGTAGTCTGATCGACCCAGTCTTGGACTTCTGGGGCTACTACCTCGCTGCACCCGTTACTTTTGACTTGTTTTCAACAGACACTAGCCGTGAACTGAAACTTATGAGCTCCCTTCTCTTCCTTTCACCATTTCTCTGGTCTTGGGACGTTGCTCAATTTTCCCCTACTTGCTTTATACTGATTTTCATTTGGCTGTCAGTTATTGCATAGTCGTTCAGCATTTAACGCCTCTCTAATCCCGACGTCCGGATGCGTGTCCAGCAAACATGTTTTCCTGGGAATGTCCTGGATACAGATATGTGCATATTGTCCACCGCGTTACCACTTTGATGTGCATCTCATTTCTCCTAACAGCTCAACCACATCATTCCTTTTTGCTATCAGATACTTTGGATTGCACCGGGTTGACTCTGTTACCCATGTTTCTTTATAATTTCATGAACTTTCTGTTACGTCGACTGAAATTAGAGCTTGAAGTAACTCGTAACATTGTCCGTAAAAGGGGACAGCGGAGATTCGCTTTCCAACTTGATGATCAGAAAAGTGTTAACGTTGCTTTTACACCTTTGTACAATCAGTTGCCGCGAAACTAAAATGCCTATGCATTTATTAATTCTCCAGGCGCCTACCACGCGGCTCTTTACCGAGTTTGCTATTTTAGCTGTTCGTCGCCATTCACCGCCTTTGTCTTCTCTTCGAATTCATTTTCATTCATCGTTGGCGAAGATCCACTGCTTTCCATGCAGTCCTCCTGAAAAATAGTACCGAATTGCGACTATGAGATGCAATCTATTTCAGAGGCAATTTTGTGTACGGACGGGTGTCATCCTGCGAACTCAACCACTTGCATTATGAGACTATTCGCTGTTTTCCCCTTACTCGCCCCAGTCGTCATCTGTTTTAACGCGTTATACCCCAAGACCGGGTGTTGTACTGTTCGGTCAGCATACTATTCGATATTGTTAGGCGTCATCTTCGTACTCTGGTTCTTCGAGTGCCAGAACAATGAAGTTGATTACTCTAGCGACGCTTCCTGTGCAACACTTTCGGACAAATGTTGCACCTCGCTGAACCAGTACAAGCGATTCAATGTATCTCATTTACCTATGGTTATGCTCAACTTATTTTTAGAACTTCATAAAATAAGGCCACAGAAATAACTCCATCATATGAAAGTGAATTCACCGGTTCACTCTTTTGGATGAATGTACTCACATAGTGGGGCGTCATTTTACCGTCGACTTGTCAGAAAGCCTGATGTAGCTACGTGACTGTAGCGCCGCCGTGCACGTTCGCAGACAAGCAGCCATTTATTGGACCACGTTTAACCCTGTTGCGTGTACGAGTTTAATTCTATAATGTCGCTCTGTCTATGCGTACGTGCACTGACGTCATGGGGTGTCCCGCCCAACTGTTTGCATCAACAGATAATTGACATGTATCGCTCATGTCTGCAACGCTTAATCAATAAAGTGTTCCTCGCACACTTCATCTTGTTCCTGTGATCAGTTGCTATTTCATTTTGGCCTGCACTACTGCTTATTTTGTTTAGTCTTCACTTGCTTTCCCATTGAGTTTCATATCTATATGTAACGGGTAGCGTAGTTTATTCTAACGAGGTGTATCTGCACTCTATGTAATCATGATTTCAGTGTTTATGCTCTAAAGTAAATGGGTCAAAAGTTACCCTTAACCACACGCTGGCTCCACAAGTGTTGCCTTCTGCCACGTGTCAGAGATTATGCATCATGATCGATACATGGTTCTCCAACTGACTGTAATCGACCTGCCGTCTCGCTATTGGTTGCACGCATCCGGAACCGCTTATGCATCATCCATAAACCATGTTGGAGTGAGCCGCTTATTCAGCTTAGAGCTTAACCCACGCTGGTTGACTAAAGTCTTGTGAACACGTGTATCTCTCTGCAACGCGCTCGATAGTAGCACCTGAGGCTAGCACACACAAACTTGACACTGTGATTACTGAATGTACCTCACTCAATCGCATTTGCAACCTTGCCACTGTTACCCTTTACCGCAAAGTTAGCACGCAGCACTACTAGCTCAGACATGCTTCTATTCGCAGGGGATATGAATTTCTCAAGTAGGATGTCTAAGTTCGTTAGAATTTATTCAGAAGGGCTTTTCTGCTGTGTGCTCGAGCTCATGTACAGGGATGGGTGTTGCGGAACTCAGTTCTTTAGGGAAAAACCTTTATTCACATCCATAACTAACAGCTCTTCTACGCCGATGAAGTACCTCCTTTGACTCAGTTTACCAAACAGTGAGTAATCGAGACGGACGTGGGCCAATCCGTGCCCAGTGATCGAATCCGTTATGTGCCTCTCATTGGTTGTATAGCTCACTCATTTGATCCATCAGATCACTCTGATGGGACATTCCTATCACAATTGGGGTTTATTGCAATCGTTCTTCGGTCACTGCCTTCAAAAGCACACTGGACTTCGGTGCATCACTTGGTGTCTCCTGTAGCTGGCTAGCGATACACCGATATAGACTATGTGATTTCTGGCGTCAGGTAGCCGGGTTCGATTCTAGTTTGCCCCTTCCTCAAAACACTTTCATCATCTCTGAACATGCCCTAGTCAACTATTACTTTCTTCTGAACCTTACCCTGAAACGCAGCTAACACTTCCATGGATTTATGAACGGAAATCTATCTCACTTCACGATTCGGCTAGCCCATCAGGCGGCTCTGTGGACTATGCATTCACCCACTTGTTCCGGGGACATCGAGTTTCGGTTGATTAAAACCTACTAACATACACGACTCGGGGGTATCTGGTTCCGGTACTGCCAGTCATCAGCGCGCCTGACACCGCTTATCCGAAGCACCGACGAATCTACTTGAGTCTTGCTGACACCAAACCCAGTGCGACCTGGTTACCTAACTTTCGCGAGTTAGCGCACAACCACTGAGCTGGTAAGCGGGCCTAGTGAACTCTGCATACCAAAGAAATGACAGAGTGGCGGGTAACTTTCACAGACTACTCTAACTTATTCGCGTCACTGGTCCAAGGAAGTCTTTTGTCATTGAGCTAGTCGGGAGCAACGTTATGCGACGTCATATAATCCATCCAGCACTTTTGGAATCTGCTTGGTTAACCTCTTACCTCTGAGCCGCTTCGTGTTTATATGGCCCTTGTTATTCCGTAGAAACCTAAGTTGGATATTCCGGCCGAATCTGCGGTTTCAAACTGTTTCACATCCCCAATCGTCTCCGCGTCACTTAACGATGGCAATGACGTCCTCAGAAATGAAATCCCAGCTGATCGAACAGATTTGGAGGCAATTGACGGTCCCGGCTAACTGGAGTGGACTCATTATAGTTGCGATATTCAATAGGGACAGTCACAACATTCATGCTAACCACGGAGGGGTCGACTTGTCACCAGCAGTGCTGAAACTGTTGGTCTCCGTCCTCTATTGCTTTGTCCTGGGGAACATGATTCCGCATGGGTAAAAATACACAATCTCAACTTGTACAGATAATATTTTCACTCCACTGTGCATGTCAGAACGACGCACGAGAACCGCTCATGGATTATATTTGTGACTCTCGATTTAAAGTGGGCTTTCTATTCAATGTATCCCACTATCTGCTCGACATTTTTAACCGGAGAAGTGTTCGCATCACAAATGTAAACATCTTATGAACCCAATACTCTATCACCACAAGGTTTGTGGCGAATTGCCAGATGCCCTTTTGGCAAAAAGTGATGTTGGTACAGGTTGTCCTCTCTTCTTCTATTATTTATTAAGCTAACTGGTTGCAGTATGAAGTTCGAGATGATTTGGAATATTGGTAGCTCGGGAGGCTTGCTCAGTTGTTGTGGAGTTCTCCGAGCTGGGCAACTTGGTTGCAAACGTTTCGCCACCATTCGAGGTGGCATCTTCAGTGCGGGATTGATAGCAGTTAAGTAGCAGTAGCTGGCAGAAAGCTGATCCATTATTGGGTTTGCTTTCTGCCAGCTACTGCTACTTAACTACTATCAATCCCGCACTGAAGATGCCACCTCGAATGGTGGCGAAACGTTTGCAACCAAGTTGCCCAGCTCGGAGAACTCCACAACAACTGAGCAGTATGAAGTGCTCTTCATTGGGGACTATCCATGCGAACCTGGATTCTTACTCAGGGGAAACTTGCCTATACTTTACACATGACATCGTCTAACCGTTTGACAGTCGCGAGTCGACAAGCTCTTCGAAATCATCTCATCCTCCCATATACACTTTCGGAGTTCAAATTGTTTTTAGAAAGTCACTAACCGCTTTCTAACTTGTCACTTGGCGGTGGGAAACTGACGACAGGTGATGGATTTATTTAACCTGGTAGACACATTGCCAGTGATGGGCGTATGACTGCTTAAATTGGCTTGCTTCTTGTAATGGCCACAACAGCCTACAGGAATTTGCAACACCTCCGGAATCTTCGTCTACGGTGCCGAGAACTTTGGGTGTCTTCGAGTATTTTTGTACCATTGTTGCCTGATGTTCAGTCGCAGCATCGTCTCCTGAACGGTAACATATGCTGGCGCATACTAATAGGTGGCCGCTGTGTCGATTCATTGAGCCAACAAGTAAAACTGCATAAGTTGCATTGATTTGAACTCATGCTATGTTTATCAACCCGCCGCGAACGTTCTTGCTCTTATTTGCTAGTCTGGAGTGGTTTAAGTCCCGATTTCGGCCATTATTAGATGAGTATCTTGTAATTAAGTCACCAACCATTAGCTTGGATTGTGTTCGTCCATCTAATCTTCCAGACTGGAGTTCACGCGATCCACCAAGTGCTCAGCTCTAGACCTTGTGGGACATTGTTTCCGATCGGTGTTAATGGCGCATTTGCAGTTGTCTCTCGTGGTTGGATCTCCTGATTAAACTGTTGGGTATGATTCGTTATGGCTTAGCTCTTTGAAAACCGCTAGGACGCTTCCCCACTCATGCTAGCTGTTTGTGCTCGTGTGTTGTTGACATTAAGTTCTCTTCGTCCTGACATTCATGTCAAGAAATTGAATTGTGCAACCTGGGGATGGTGAATACTCAGCTACAACACACACAATTTCAACAATGTACCAAACGACAAATCAATCACGAAACAGTACCATGAAAAGGCGTTTACTAAAGTTTAGGCAGGAACGCGCATCATTCTGCGAATTAGTTGCTTAGTTTTGCTGCGACAGAGTTTGGATTTAGCCGACGAAGCCTCAGTACAAATCACTGGTGAACAGCTTCTACTGTCCTTTTCTGGTTTGAGAGCAATCGATTGGAAGCTGTGAATCAGATACACCACTAGTGCATACTCAAACTCGCTGAGCTAAGCGCATTGCACTTCTCCATCTACTCAACATCAGTGCATTAGTATGGTAATAAAGCGGAGAAATGGGAAACCTCCGTCTATACATTTATGCTCAACGGATATGCACACAGTTCCGTCTGAAGGTGTCTAAACCTGCAAATGCCCAATGTGCACGTGCAGTAGTGAGACTGACCGATTGGCCCTATGTGAGAAACACAATCCGATCGGCAAACAAGTTATCCAAACAGCATGATACCAGGATTGCGAGGGATTTGTGTGAGTTAGTCAGAAGACGGGAGGGTGGCTCCGATTGGACCAAAACGGAAGTCCTAGCACACGGAGAGAAATACAAGACTAGTAACTTACTCGAACCACGGTCTCCACGAGATATTCCATACACATAGCGTCAATATCTACGCGGCATGGCAAGCATAGTGTCGGTTAGAACCAGGCGAATTAGAAACCGTTGTATGCAACCAAGCAGACCGGTAACAGGAGTCTGAATGAAATAAGTTTGCCTAGTTTGAACCATAAACCACACACTTAATGCACCCCTAGAATTCTCGCGACCCCCCCCCCCAACTTGACTGCAACAGTCCCATTGCCAATCGCACGTGTTCTAGTCAGCAAGCGGAGCAATCGATCAGATTGATTTGCGGTTGCTGACATCCAAGATGTACAAGAAATACTCCCCATTGGTGCGCACCATTGCTATGGCTCGGTTGATCCTAGCTGACGAGCGGAACGTGATGAGACGGTACAGTCCGACTGCCAAGTTCCATGGGCATATTATAACCTCTTTCTCCTGGTTCAACCGAGCCGTAACTGGCTTCAATTATTTCGCTCGAAAATCCTATGTCACATCCGTTGGCTCAGTATTTCTAAGAAAATGGGGAATACTTATCTTCATGTATTGTGCCTCGGGAGGACATCTTATCCCTTATATGGCCAAAAACGACCGCTTGGCTGGGGCTGTTCAAAGCTATCAAGGTCAAATTACCCTTTGGCACATCAAGTCCGTTTTAATCTGTCTGCTTCGTATAACTACGTTTGCATCTTTCGTGTACGGTCGCTCACTAACGGTTTTCTTTCGCGTTCGCTGTTTTCGCTAGCCGATTTCTTTCGCCTTTGTTCCACATGTGCCTCGTCTTCCTGGCGCTTTTGAATGAGCAGGTGCTTTCGCATTGCTGCCTCGCTGGGTTCACTTGTGAGACCATATGCGCGGATGAACTCATCCTTTTCACTAAGCAATTTTTAATTAGGAAATCAACCCATCCAAACGTCAAATGTCTTTGGGGTTCCGTTTGTCACCCATCGCTTGGTTACGAACTATCACGACGTTTATCGGGAATTCGCGAAACATCTGCTCTCGGTGTCATTGACCAAGTGAAAAGATTAGGCTCTTAGATGTCCATCTTAGCTCATTCCTTCTATGCTTTGTGGGATTACGTTATTTATGCTCTTGTTACTGAAAACCGATGTTCACCACCTCAGCATTTCGGTCCTTTAGGAAAAAAGTTGCACCATCCACATCCCGGTGGTAGCCGTTCTGAACCCTTCTGTACTGTTTCATAAGCGTAGCGCAGTCAAGCGGCGTCGTGCAGTCAGTGGCACTGTTGTGCTTGCTTTCTTGTATCTATCCGTGTTCTTCTAAAGCATGTAACTGTTGGATGAAATTGCAAACTTAAAAAACTGTCTTGCTATCAATAGTTCACTCAGTCGTCTATTTCGGCGATCCCGCTGTACGATTTGGTCGAAAAATCCCTCGGTCTTTCTTGCGCTGTAGTCAGATGTGTAATTTCCTTGTATATTATCATAGCTGTTATTCCTCTTCTACCTCTTCTTATTTTATATTCTTCCTTACTTCACTGTTGGCCACGACTGGTTCGATCTTCTGAGGTGATGAATTTAAGCTTCCAAGCTAATAAATGAACCAGTGCAAGGCGCATTGACTGGCTCACTGGCGAGAGAGAAAACGCTTGACTCGAAAAATTCTACTGATGGTACGGGCTAGATGGTTTGAGTGTCCATACTACACACACATAAAACAGCCCTAAATAATAGTTAAAAAGGTGATAGTTTACCTGCTTTATAGTCCCATCGGCATCCGGCCAGATGAGGTATGAAAGTGCGGGTGAAACCTTCGAGCGAACACCCTGCTTAAAAGCAGGTCCCCTGGAGGCGGTTCCATGGTTGACTGTATTACTTCACTTGCACATTTAGATTTGTCTGCATTAGCAACCTCTCATTCTTTTTGAAAGATGCAATTGATCAACCAGCCCCACTCGAAACAGTTTGTGAACTCCTCTAAAAAGCTCAAAAATTCATCTGTTCCCTGCGGTTTTCATGTACCTAATAGTCAGACCACTCAGTTGGACTGTGCCTCGCCCTGTCAACGAATATGCCGCTTATTTATTTAGTTATCCATTCTCTCTAATGTAATGTTGTCCACTTTTCCCAACCCCTTTTCCTTGCTTTCTATTTCCGGCACGTAGCCTTAAGGATTACAAGCCTGCCTTGTAATATGAAAGCGCGAGTTCTAGTCTGCGTAGGGATCAGATGACTCTCGCAGTATCCTTAGCCTACGTGCGACCTGTGGTGGTTGCGCAGCAACGAAGCGTCGCTACTGCTGATGCCTACCCTTTCCTTCGATCTTATTTTTCTGCTCACTGTTACTTATTATTGTCCTGGCAACTCGAACCGTGACAACCGATCGCGCCGCAGGTCTTGCGCGATTCCCTGAATTCGCTCCGCTGCCTTGCGGACAGGCTATTCAGCCAAAGGCTCGGGGTGGTGTCCCCTGCTCACATCTGGTGGGAACACCGCGTGAGCAACGAGCGTGTTCGCTGCCTTGTTTATGGCACAGGAAAAGGAACTGAACCGCTCAGCACCGTTATTTCACGCATCAGGCTCCGATGGCTCGGCCACGTGTTACGCATGCCAGCCCACTGACTCGCGCGACGTGTGTTGTTTGCGCGCCGGGGGTGTCGATGGAAGAAGAGGAGGGGTGGCCAAGCGATGACTTGGTCCAGAGGAATGAAGACCTTCACTTCCGAGCTGGCCTCCGTTGGAGCGTCTCGGCTCCCTGTCTGGGGTCCGAAAGACGATGAACACGTTTGGTTGGACACACTTGCTGCTATGGCTAGGAGCCGACCTCAGTGGCGTTCGTGCTGTGAGTTTCTTTGTCCCACCCCATCCCTCTTAGCCTCCCCCTCCAACCACGATCTCATTATTTAGCCTTATATAATTTTGTATAGTAATTTTTTTTGGTGCACAGCAGCCGGCTGGTAGCTTATCGGAACGATGCCCATCCGTGAGCGGTAGCTCAACCAGCTTGCACCAGTTGCATTTTTTCTCCTTTTTTCTGTGTATTGCGGCACAGTAGCTGAGGTGTTCCCCACCTCTAGCTAACGTGTATCATGATGATGATGGTGGTGGTGTCCCCTAAGTCAACACCCTACTTCGGCTTGGGCAACCGGGTAGTATCTCGCCCTCTGACGAAATCGTGGACTTTGATGTGTTCTGTTGTGTTTCCTTTTACTATTTCTGTACCTTGTTTTGAGTTCCATGGTTTCCGATGGTGCAATGTCTATTCATAGACTGTTGCAAACATATATATATATATATATATATATATATATATATACCGCAGGTCGATGTCCGGATCATAAATGTTTCGATGGTATGAACTGATCTTTCGTGAATTACATGATCCGGTTTCGAGGTTACCGCTTGATTACCATACTCGTTTTTTACTTCCTTCCCAGGTTAACAAAGCCGAAATCGACTTTTGTTGATTTAATGAATTCGCTCAAGCTAGATCCTCCGAAACAGTTTGATCGAGCCATGCGTTTGAACAAGGTTTGCGGTATTGAGAATTAGCCTTGTGTTCATTCTACTCTGTTCACGTGCCCTGTGGTACGACTTCTACGTTTACGGGGAACTTACTTCATTTTGCCATCTCCATTCGTGCCACAGGTTATCAGTTGCTCTTCCCTGTTCTCTAGACAAGGCGTTGCTTTGGGGATCAGCCTCCGTGACTGCTTCCCAGCTCTCGATTTTCTTCTTTATCGACTCTTCGATTGCCTATGAATACTCCTATTCCCCATCGCTTTTGATACCATTTCACTTTTTAAACCTAACAGATCATTGTCATTCCAACTGTGCCTAACTGCGGCTCACGATATTTTCTGTCCACTCGGGCGCAGCTGCTTTTGTTACTAACTTAAAGATATGTCATCAATATTTTCACATTAACAAATGATTATCTTGTTTCACACTGGCTTTTCTCTTTTTGGACGGGAACAGTTATTTGATGCTTTGCTTTCCATCGCTATATTCGACATGTCGGCGTTCAGCAACAACATATAACCATGGACTCCTCAGATTCTCTCTCATACCTTTTTTATTGTCTCTCCAAACGTGAATTCCTTGCATATCTCCCCATCAGGAGCTTTTTTCTATAACTAACTTGTATTTTTGCCGACATTGTGAGAAGTTGATCCCGCACAAGGTTAGATCCAGAGCGCTACAATCACTGCACTCATCTTGTTACCTGCGTATAAATGGAGTGCAATCAGATGCTGTCCATCAGAATGCTTGATATTAGCGAGTTTCTTCCCCTTTCGCACCGATTCCTTTGGTGTTGCTCGCTCTACGGACAGTTGTACGCCCACGACAATGGACAAGCCTCCTTTGAGTGATGCCGGTTTAATTATTGCCTGTGAAGGATCAAAGCGTTGATAGCTGCATTCTCTGACTACTTCATTTGTTGTCCTTACTCCTCTGGATAACAACAACAAGTTCGACTGAAGTGGAGCAACCATAATCCACACGGTAACTATCGGTTCAATAACCTAATTTCCTATCGTCAGCCATCTTTAATGCGGATGCGAGATTACCTTAGCCCCATCAATGAATCTTAAGCAATGCTGTACCTGTTCCCTGAATTTCGACGTCTGGAACAATCGGATACAACGTTGTTATTCTGGTCTGGATGTTGAGTTCAGAGCGGAAATTGACAGTTGCTTTACGGTCATGAGCTGTACACTTGACAATTGTAGTCCTCGTCTGCCTGGCATTCGTGAAACACCAAGTCCACTTCATTAACGCAATAAGAAGACATAGGTTGCGATCTGTTAAGGTTTCGATTGCTTTCGTCAGTCGCGACGCAATACAGGATGAATAAAATGCGCATTAACTACGGTCCACACTTAGTAACATAGATAAACACACAAAATTGATGTGAATGACGTAATCAGGTCCATGGCAATCTAATTGATTGTCTCAGTTGTTTCTGAGCGCAGAGCGCGGGACAATTCAACCTTATCAGTAGCGCCTCGCTAATTGCCAACAGTTTCGGGTTTCTGTTGCGCTAAGCAGTGAGTCACTGAGGATGTCACCTCGGAGGATGTCATCTCGGAGAACAAATAAAATCCAGAACAGTCAACCCGAGCTACAAGTACTCCGATTTAATGAAGACATTCTGCACTAATCGCAAACTCTTATACAGGCATGTTAATGGCCTTCGTAAGGTGCTACGCGGAATTCCAGCACTGATCACGACTGACGGATGCACGCGATCGGCCACGGAAGCAGCCGATCACTTGCAGTTCCATGACTCATAAACGCTCCATTGAGTAACGGACCGAACGGTTATCTCTGTTTCTGTTGTCCCACCGTAAGCATTATCCAATATTACTTTTACTGCGGAAATGTGTCAAAGAAACTATTGTCCCTGCGTATCCAAAGTTCTCCTGGTGTCGATAACATTTGACCGAAGGCTTTACAGGCAGCAACTAGTGATCTGGCAGAACCTCTGGCTATATTCTATCAGCGCTGTGTGGAGGCGAACCATATTCCAACAGTATGGAAGCGAGGGGTCATCACTCCTATTCATAGTTGAGGTAGTTGCACTGACCCAACCAATTACCGTCCGATAACGCTACTCCCTGTGCTTTCCAAGCTTATGGAGTCTATCATCGCTTATGCACTCATGCAGTAGCTGGAAAATCACAAAATGAAAGCACCAGAGCAAAATGGCTTCCGACAAAAGCACTCATGTAGTACGAACCTGCTAATTGCACGCAATAGCTGGCCTGAAGCAGTTGATGATAGGGCAGGAGTTGATGTCTTTTACCTGAACTACACAAAACCGTTTGATCGCTTAGACCACGGAATTTTCTTCCATAAACTTCAGCTATATGGCGTTGGTGATCCACTGCTGAGTTGGATAGGCACGAACGTCGGTTGAAACTGAGAATACGAGAATCCCTATCCGACCCAATTGAGGTGTAGTGCAGCGTACCACGGGGCTCGGGCCCCGTCTATTCTTGTCTTTCGTAAGCGATCTGCCGAGGGAAATTACTTCCGATTTCTTACTCTTCGCTTATGATATCAACTTATGGCGAGCGATCAAAGAACCGAACGACCACGAAAAGCTCCAGCGTGACTTCGACACAATTTCAAACCGGTCAGTTCTGAATACACTACCGTTCAGTGTGAAAAAGTGTCACACTGTTCCATTGCGCCATAAGCATGATCACGTGTATATGCTTGGGTCACATGAATTGCAAACAGCTTCCAAGAACGCAACCTTGGTGTGCACATTCAGTGATCTTAACTGTTCAAAGCAGTCAGAGGCAGCTGCGGAGAGAGCCAACCAGCACGTCGGCTTGCTGCGGAGAGCACTCGAAAGATTTGACCCATCCATCTTCCCCATGTTCTACAATTCCTACGTGCGCCCAAACGTTGAATACGCCATCCAAGCTTGTCAACGTTGGTTGAAGTGCGACTTAGAAGTGCTAGAGAAATCACAACACAGGGCCACAAAGAACGTGAAGCGCCTACAAAATCTGTCATACTATTAAAAGCTGAAGTCACTGGGTTTTCAGTAGCCGCTCTCGAAAGCTGCGCAGCTATCTCATATTAGTCTACCAAATATTGAGTGACCCTAGTCACGTATGCCGTCGTTTGCTGGAACTTAACCATAACACCAACCTCAGCGGTAACCCTCTGAAATCGTGTGCACAGTGTAGCCGCCTGAGATGTAGACGGAATTATTTTTGTCTTCGGATTTGCCAATTGGAACTCTCCCAAACGTCGTTTCCTCCCCCACTTTAGCCATTTTCAAAAGAAGATTGCATTTTACCCTTGGCCCCCATCGCTTCGTTGCCTAAACTGTGCTACTTTGGAGTATATTAATTATCCCTTCACACCGAATTAGCATGTTACATAAGCCTTAAGAGACGCTACAGAAGTGAGTATTCTCGCTTTTGCTTTTTTCACGGAGTACAACAACTATTACTGTCCGTATGTTGCTTCGTGGTTCGCCTCCAATTCTCACTTACGCTACTATTATTCAGCAGCGTATCTGCTAGATAAACGCTCAGGCAACTCACCTATCTTTTGATAACTGTAGTTTTACCCCCACTATCCTGCGGAACTTGTCATGCAACTGCTTTTTTACCAGGCATAAATCATTGTTCGTTGTTCAACTGCAACTTCTCGGATGGCAAATAGTCTCTAGTAGATGTGGTAGTGTCAAAGTATCACCGATTGGCGATAATTATTTGAATCCCAAGCGCCGACTGCACCACTTCAAGTATTCTATGGTCTTTTTCTCTATGTACAAACGACATGTATTAAATATGAAAAACTAAATGGTGTTCACATTATTCCCATATTAGTGGTCTTCTGAGTCCCAGTGACCCTGCTGTATGCTTCTTATGTGTTGTGCCCCTTCCACGTGATTCTGGTCAGTTCGAAATTAAGCCCCACCCGGGGCGCAAGCTTTCCAACCCCCATAAGGAAGCGATATATAAACTATGGTCGACTCCATTGTGTGGCGTTAAACCGTGTCGGAATACACTAGACTTCCCTTGTTCTCTGGTGGCCTGGTTTCTCTAACAGATTCGTCCATTTCTTCTGACTCAGCACTTATGTTCCAATAGATGATAATTCAAACCGACCACGCCCCCATTGCATTTTTTACAAGCTCTACGACAGCTTGTGATATGTGTTAATCGGAGGATATTGCTGCGGTGGGTTTGGTTTTTATATTCACGAATTTCCCATTGCTTTTTGTTTCCGACATCATTGTGGTATGCTGCGGTGGTAGAGTATTGTAGCCCAGCTCAGATAAGTAAGAGAGTCAGCAACGTGACTTACGCGGAGGGAGCATATGGAGGGATGTGTTATGAGTAAAACTAATACACGATGGGAAGGTGCAGCGACGAATAAACTACTGTCGCGCAATACTGAAAGCATAAATGTTTCATGTTCACCGCGGACGTGAATCATGCAACCTTGCGCCAAACGTGGCAACAGCTCGCCGACTTGGTTTGTCTTCCCCACTCACTCCTCAGAACAGTAAACTAAACCTTTGTTAGACCCACCATCATTTTAACAGACAACGTTTGAGACTAGCCTACACGGATAGACTGTGCCAAGCGATGTTCACAAAATAGCAGATCACATTAATTCGCGCTGCTTGCCCACGGTAAGCTAAGCCTAAAGCTTCCGAATCGTAGCGTAGGAAACTGCGTTTGGGGTCAACGATTTTTAACAGATTGCTCTGACAGTTTGCGCAGAATTGCGACCGACTGGCACGAATTGTAAAACAAGCCGCCGCCGTAAGAGCTGTCACCTACTGGAATGCAAATCAAGGTTTTTGAGTGGTTTTCTAACCCTCGTTGTTAGAAGCTTTGTGACCGACTCATCACGATGCCTCTCCTAACTCCTGTCTCATTTTTCTGCCTGAAACACAGCAACTCACTTCTCATTGGTTGTAATCCGGACGGTTCAAAATTGTTTATTCTGTACGTGCCTTTTCTGTTGCCTTCTTGATACAACGTTTGGCGTCGCGAGCCCAAAGTTGCACATTTCCATTCAGCCCCCATCTCCATTTTTGACTGTTGCGGTGGTAGACCAACATCAGATACCTGGCTCCGTTGGAAAGCGTCCTTCCAAAACTACCTGGATTTAATCAGCGACTTCCATTCTGCTCTGAGTGAAGAAAACAGATTGAATCTGCTTCAACATTTTCTCGGAGATGAGGGCCAACGACCGTTTGGTGATTTGGGCCTTCAAGGATGTAACTCCGTTAAAGAAGCTTTCAGTGCTCTTGATCGTACATGGGGTTCCCAAATGACTGTGTTTATTGCAAGATATCTTTTCTCCCGCATGCATCAGGAAACAGGCGAACCTTCGAATGTTTGCATTGCCCGCCTAAGTCGCGCAGTACGACGGT